ACATACCCTTTCATTTCTACGCCGATGATTGCCAAATTTACTTCCCCCTGAGGCACAGAGGCACACGCTCTATTCAGCCTCTTCTTGACTGCCTGGCTGACATCCGGGACTGGATGGCTTTAAACTTCTTAAGCTTCAATGAGAAGAAGTCTGAAGTCATGCTGTTCCATCCCAGTGGCTCACTCATGAACCATGACATTGACCTTTTCTCTCTAGCCCCGCTAGAGAAACAAAAGGTCACTAATCTGGGGGTGATAATGGACCCGTCCTTAAAACTCAACAGTCACGTAAACATGATGGTCAAATCCTGTTTTTTTCAGCTGAGACGGCTGTCTAAGCTGAAGCCTATACTCTCCAAAAAGAACCTTGAGACAGTGATCCACGCCTTCATAACATCTAGGCTTGATTACTGCAATTCACTTCTGTTTGGAATCAGTCAGTCCTCCATTGCTCGTCTACAACTGGTCCAAAATGCTGCAGCCCGATTTTTAACTGGTACAGGCTATAGAGAGCACATCACGCCAGTTTTGGCCTCCCTGCACTGGCTACCCATTCACCTTCGGATCCAATTCAAAATTCTCATGTATGTTTTTAAATCACTGAACAGTTCCGCCCCATCCTATCTCACTGATCTTCTGCAGCCATATGTCCCACCGCGCTCTCTGAGGTCAGCAGACCAGATGCTTCTCTCAGTCCCAGAAACCCGTCGTAAGCTCAGAGGTGACAGGGCTTTCTCTGTTGCAGGTCCACGACTGTGGAATGAGTTGCCACTGAGTGTCCGGCAGGCTCCCACACTCTCAGTCTTTAAGTCTCGCTTGAAGACCCACTTCTATTCGCTTGCCTTTAACACGGTGTGATTTGTTTTGGTCCGGTCTGTTCTCTACTCTGTTGGCCATTTTAGTTAGCTTCTGCTGCTATTTGTATCTGTATTTCTATTTTATGTTTTCCTGTCTGCTGTGCATGTTTGGTTCTTTTGTACAGCACTTTGGTTGGCCTTGTTGCTGTTTTAAGTGCTATATAAATAAATTGGTATGGTATGGTATGTGTGTCGGACGTTTCCCTCGTGTCATTTACTATAATGAATTAACTCACTTTAGCGATTCTGTTTAAACTACTACTTATTACTGTCCTGCAGATCTGCAGTTTCTTCAGAAATCAGCCAGCCCAGCCTGTTACTATATCTGGCTCAGAGGCGCATCAGAGATAGAGCGTCTCCGACCCCCCCTCACCGCCTCGGTGTGTCTTCTGAATGAAGCGAAGCAGCCAGAACATGTGTCAGTGGTTGTGAAAGAGGCTGGTTCATATATAAGTTGACATTTTTGGAAAATCTGAAATTTTGTAATAAAATATTTATAAAAAATAGGCTTAAAAAAAACAAAACAGATTCTTCTCCCTGTGCTGCCTGTACTGTCTATAATCTGTTGTCGGCAGCTGTTCTACTGCTGGAAGATCACTGGCGACATTCAGAGATGCTTGGATATTGTTAAGTATTAAAAAAAAGGGCTCAGAGGGCCACACGTCAGCTTGAACAAACCTTTATTGTATTTAAGTAACGCAGCTGAAAGCTTTTTGTTCATTTTTCTCCACTGTATTTTGTTCTTTTCACTTTTCTTCCCGTTCTCTAATCATTTTTTTCTTTTAAGTGTGCCAACATTCAAAAGACACATAAATCCTGCTCTTGTCTGCAGCTGTTTGACACAGACGAAGACGAGAAAATCACCCACGACGAGTTTACGGCTCTGCTGCGCTCGGCTCTGGGTGTGTCCGATATAAACATGACGAAGCTCTTTAAGGAGATCGATGCAGATTCTTCTGGTTTCATCACATTCGGTAAGTTTTTGTTGCCTCGGGTCAAATCAAAGGTTTAATGTCTCACTACATGCTTGTCTCGGGGTTTGTGCTTCAGGAGAATTTCAAGCCTTTGCTACCACCCACCCTGAATATGCCAAGCTCTTCACCACCTACCTGGAGCTTCAGCGGTACCACGCGCTCAAAGAGGCCAGACCTGAAGAGCTGGAGTCAGTGGATGAAACCAGTTCAGAGGAAAACAACGAGGACAGTACTTCTGACAAAAAGGACGACTGAGAATGAGCCTCACATTTATCTTGATAAATGTGTCAAGTATTTGTTTTTTGTTTGTTTTTTTGGTTTTAGGGTGTTTATTTTTTTTTTCCATTTGCCCTTTATTTATCCAGGTAGTCTCATTGAGCCACGAGAACTCATTTTCAAGAGAGACCTGTTTAGGGAGCAGATGGGGGGTTAAGGGCCTTGCTCATGGGCCCAGAGTGGGGTGAATGTGGATGGGGGCAAGTGTGGGTGCTTCACCTACCCCACCCACAATTTTGATGTTGTCGGGACCGGGGCGTGAACCGTCGATCTTCAGATCACAGGCCGTCCTCTAACCTCTCCAGGGTGTGATTGTTTTTAATGTTAGTGCCTTCTAGTTTTTAAACGAGGTCTTCCCTTACTATTACAAAATCCCTCACAAGAAAGATGAAGCCATAACACAAAATAATATCAAAACATATATGTCATTAATTGTTTTTTAAATTTATCTGACAGTATTTTAACCTCCATTCCTTTCACTGAGATGAACCTTTCTTTGTGTATCTTTTTTTTTCCTACTTTTGTCTCTGTTTTTTATTTAAACAAGAGGAAAACTTGCCAAACCAACATATTTTTAATCACGAGCAAAGAGCCCCGTGCGCTTCTGTGTTGCAGTATAATTAGTGTTCAGTAAACTTTAGCAAGTTTTTTTTTTATTTTATTTTTCCAGCCTGGTGAACCAGAAATGTATTCAGTATAAAAGCTGTGTTTCAGAGAGCATAGATGCTGTGCATTACACTTTTCTCTCCAGCGCTCAGAGACAGAAATAGTAAGGCGGCTGTATAATTAGCCAGAAGTTTGCTTTGCATGTGTACCTATTTGCATTTCTACAGACGATCGGTGTTGCTGAGACAGCAGCGTGTCTGTGCAGCTTTAAGTTTACAAAAGCAAATTGAGCATTAAAAAATAGGGCAATTTGTGAGCAAAAAGCCAACAGGGCTTCTTCACAGCAGCGTATTCCAGCGGGGTGGGGCTTAGAGATTAACAAGCAACATTGTTATTTATTTAACAACAGTGTATTGCAATTATATAGACTTCCTTTGTTGTGAATAATGCAAAGTTTGCTTTTTTTTTTAAATAAAACTAATAAACAATCAGATTTCCATGTTTCTTATTTTCTGTTGTTCACCACTTAGGACACTTGTAATGACTTCCCCACTGTGCTGCAGCGGCACGCGTGTATTTCTGAAACCACCACAAGGTGGCAGCATTTAGCTGCTTTAATTCCAATAAGTTTATTTATTTCGCTTTTTCCATCAATTGTGTTAGTTTTAATAAATTGATACATTTTGTGTTTTATATAGTGAATTTTCTGCTCAAAGTGAGAATTAAATTAATGATCAACGATGCATCAGCAACACCTACAAATGTGTTTCTGGTAATTTTGACTTGAATTTAAAACACTGAACTTATCCATCTGTTAATTAAAATAAACAGTTTTATCACATTTTCTGGATAAGAATGTACATTTAAACAAAAGGTGAGAAGTACATTATTTATACACCAGCAGGATTTAAAATTGTGCTATTATATTATTTGTTCAAATCAGCAGTGCTTTCAGAAAGTCACAACATTATTTCCAGTGGTGTTGTCATGCTCGATCTGCATTTATAAAGAGGGAAAAGGATTGTGTCATGAGCGCACAATGCATTTTTGTGAACTTTTATTTTTAATGACATCTAAGACAAATTATAATGTTTATGATGTATGTTTTTAATCTGATGAAACCTAATGTTGAAAAAGAACAACAGATCTTTCTGAAGCACATTGATTTTGTACTCACTTACTTACTAAGACATATTTACTTTTGCTAAAACTTGTGATTTTAACAACTTCTGATTCCTGGTCTGTGCAGTGAACAAACCAATGAAGTTCTTCAAGTCACAGTTTGCACAGAAAGACAAAACGCAGCCTTGCTGAAAAAAAAAAAAAAGACAGAAATGAAGGATGAAGAGAAGTTCTCATTAAAAGCCGACTGTTAGACAAACTGTGATTACAAGCCGTGGTTTCCATGTTCAATTTGTTTTAACCTTTTCAAACGTACAGAGGCCCATTTCATTTTGATCAAAATGGACGAGAAGCCGTGGAAACAATTAAGTCGCCCTTTTTTTTGTTGCACTTAATGGCTCCCTCCTCATTCACGGCACCTGTTCTTCTCTTCGGCCCCCCCCCACGCCACTCCATCCTCCCGCGCTCTCCCTCTTGTATATTGCTGTATCCATTTCAGCCCTGCCTGGAGGGTGATCCTGTCGCAGTAGATTGTGGGAGATATGTGTTGGTAATTTGATTTGGTCTCCTCGGGACCTGAGTGAATGAGCAGCCTCTTGTTTGTGAACACGAGCTGGACGCAGGGCCCCGTACAGATGGGGTGAGGAGGGGGAACTCACTGTGCCAGCCTGGAAGAAAAGGTCACAACCAGAAGGCCTCGTTAACTTGATGCGGCTCAACTAGGTTCGTCAATTTAGCCAAGCAGCCTTCTCAGGCAAAACAAGGACAAGCTCTGCAGTGATGACAGGTCTAACTATTATACAAGATAAACACATAATGAGAACATATTGCAAGTATTGGGTAAATGTTGGCTTTTTTATGTTCTATTTACAAACTTACGCTAACAGGTTTTCTTGCGTGACTGATAATTGACTAAATAACAGACTGATTTAGCATCTGCGTTGACACGCGAGTAATAAAAAGAAAAGTGAAAGATGATTGGGCATCATTAGTTGGCAGAATGCTGTGTGTGTAACCTTTCGTTCCTATATGAACTTTCATGCCCAGAACAACAGGATACCTGGGTGTGTATACACGCTTCTTTGACCTGCCCTTCATCCTGCGTGACGAGCATTGATGCAGGCGTGCACAAGTTAGAGACGAGCAAACCCTCCTCCTGCACATATTCCTGTAAATGTTTTCCATAAGAAGAGGCTACCGCACGTGTCTCACGAGTAGGAAATAATTCCATCTAAATGGTGATAAGTCAAACACTCCTCG